GGAAGAGAATGTTACCCATTGCGACGGCTTGGATGGATCTGGAGAGCATTATGCTAAGTGCATTATGCAGTTAGAGAAAGACAAGTACCATACGGTCTCACTAATATGTGGAACCTAATGAACAAACTGAACTAACAAGTAAAATACAGACTCTAGAGAGCAGGCAGACAGCTCTTGGGAGGTGGGGGAGGGCAGGGGAAATGAGGGATTGAGCAAAAAAGGAAAAACAGAAGGAATTCATGGACATGGATAACTGTGTGGTGATTATGGGGGTGGGTGGAGGTGGAGGGGGTGTATGGGAAAAATAAATTAAAGAGAAAAAATAAATTCCTATCATATACATATGTAATATATATATATATATTACATATGTATATGATATATATATGAATATATATATGCTGAATAATTATAAAGGCAGCGTTTATTAAAATACATTTTGTTTTCAAAATGTAATAGAAATCAGTGTGTATACATTTTTGGGACACCTGTATATGTGATAGGAATTTCTGAATAATTGCCAACTAACTAGGACATTGAAACTCGACTAGTGTGTCCCTGGCCCTGTGCCATCGCCTCCTGGGTCAGTGGCCACCGGCCCCTCCTGGGCCTTCCCCATGCGGGCACTGGGGAGGGGGTCACATACCACAGTGATGGCCTCCTGAAGCTTTTAGTCTTGAATGGGGGGGGCTTTAATCAAACAAGCGTTCACAGCAATAGGTCATTAGAATGGTGACTAATGACAGACTGCGGTTCACGAGCCACATGCGGCTCTTTGGCCCCTTGAGTGTGGCTCTTCCACAAAATACCACGACCTGGGCAAGTCTATTTTGAAGAAGTGGCATTAGAAGAAGTTGAAGTTTAAAAAATTTGGCTCTCAAAAGAAATTTCAATAGTTGTACTGTTGATATTTGGCTCTGTGGACTAATGAGTTTGCCCACCACTGCCTAGAAGAGGAATGGTCAATAGCGCTATTAAAAACTGAGCCTATTGAGATAGCACGGAGGGGCCTGGAGAGCCTCATGCTGAGTGAAGTCCGTCAGTCAGAGAAAGACACGTGTCACATGACCTCACTCATATGAGGAATCTAATTAGCAAAATGAACTGATGGACGGAGTGGACCCAGAGCCATGGGGCATGGCGCAGAGGGAAGGCGGGGGAGGGTGAGTCTGCATCTCTGCATGGCCCCTGGGCACAGACAGTGTGTGGGTGGGTGGGAGGGTGGTAAGGGCCTGGGGCAGGGGGCAGGGTGGGCTGGAAGGGGTCAATGGGGAAAAAGGGGACATACGTAATACTTTCAACAGTAACGAATTACTAAAAACAACAACAGAATAGAAACAGGAAAAAACAAAACCAGAAAACCTGGGCCCCGGCATCTGGGGTCGGAGAGGGCTCCTGAGGAAGTGACATTGCCGGAGGCTGAGAGAGGAGCCAGTGGACGGGGTGAGGGTGAGCGGGTGGGACAGCTGAAGCGGGAGCAGGAGGTGCTCAGGTTCCTCTGCAGACATGAAGGTGCCATGAGGGGCGGGGCGGGGCGGGGCCGTGCTTGGATCCTGGTTCTGCCACTTGGATGTGTGAGCAGGCAAGTCACTCACCGGCCTGCGCCTTAGTTTCCTCCTCTGTAACGCCTCCTGGGGCTGCTGTGAGCCTTAAACACCTGGCGGGAACGCACCCTGCTTTCCTGCATATTGACTACCGATGTCTAGTGGGGGCTACACTAACGAGGGGCAAAAGAGGCGGAGCCTTTGCCCTAGCTGTTGTGGCTCAGGAGTTGGAGTGTCGGCTCTAGCACCAAAGAATCACAGGTTCAATCCCTGGTCAAGAGCATGTACCTGGGCTGCAGGTTTGATCCCTGACTCTGGCTGCCCCGGTTGGGACACCTCCAGGAGGCAACTGATCAATGTCTCTCTCTCACATCCATGTTTCTCTCTCTTTCTCCCCCGACCCCTCCACTCTCTTTAAAAATCAATGGAAAAAATATCCTTGAGTGAAGATTAACAACAACGAAAAAAGTCCGAGCCTTTACTGTGAAGGAAAAGGCGTAGATAGATTGATTTCCCAAAGATCAAAGAATTAGCTAATGGAAGATCTGACCTGGGACAATAGTTTTTAAAGAATTCATTTTGTGCTTTTTTTCTTCATTAAATCATGCTTCATTCATTTATACAGCCAGTGATGCATTTGAGAGTTTAGAACAGAAATGGCTGTTATTCATCAGATGGTTTTCACAGCTCCTAGGGTTTGTTTGAAAGTGGCTTGGGTTTGGCTCTGAGTGATGTGAGTTTGGTGATCAGATCCGGGGTCCTTTGGGGGTGGCTGTTTCCTCTGACAATGGCCGGGTGCAGTCGCAGGGGATCTAAGGTGATTTCCACCCGGTGGTCTTTGTGGCAGCCCTTCCCCGGTGGTCCTGCCTCAGGCGTGTGGATGGATGTGGTTGGTGTTAGTCACGGAGGGGGCACCGCCTCTCTGTGCAGATGGTGCTGTGTGTGGGGAGCTTCTGAGAACTGCTTGCCGGGATTCCTGGAGGTCCCGGGGGTGGTGTGCTACAGGTATGGCACGCTGTGATCATGCTCACCATGTGTGTGGCGGTGAGTGGGGGGTCACGGGGCAGGAACAGGGCTGTGGTGACTTTAGGGGCCCGTGTTTGGATTAGGTGTACTGTGTGGGGGGAAACTTACCGTCACTTTTGGTGTATCTGTGTCAGTGTAGTCATTTTCGACATTGCTGGGATGGGATTCAGAAATGGAAACTTACAAGTTTCCAGTTCATTTAAATCAATTATTTGCTATTCTTCTAAAAGTAGATGCTCTAAACCCCCCCCCCCCCCCCCAAAGCTTCAGACTATTTCCTTTCAGGTTATAAACAATAGGATCTTATGTGGTTACTAGGGGCGCATTGCACGAATTCGTGCACCTTAAAAGGAACTGGCCGAAACCGGTTTGGCTCAGTGGTAGAGCATCGGTCTGCGGACTGAAAGGTCCCAGGTTCGATTCCAGTCAAAAGCATGTACATTGGTTGCGGGCACATCCTCGGTAGGGGGTGTGCAGGAGGCGGCTAGTCGATGTTTCTCTCTCATCGATGTTTCTGGCTCTCTATCTCTCTCCCTTCCTCTCTGTAAAAAAATCAATAAAATATATTTAAAAAAAAAAAAAAAAGGAACTGTGGGCTGCGAGGCTGTGGTGGGCACAGGGGCGGATCTCAGCCCATCCTCCACACCCCGGCCCAGCCCCTGGCCCCCTGTCTGCCAGCACTCCCCACCGCCATTACAGCTCCCACACACTGACAGCACCAGCCCTGCTTGCACCCACTGACGTCATGGAGTGATGGGGCCAGTCCAACAGTGGGTGTGAGTGGGACCAGCGCCATCAGCAGGTGCAAGCAGTGGCTGCTGCCCCTATGGCCCCTCAGGAGCAAGGGGAGGTGGAGAAGCCCTGAGGGGCCATTGGGGCCAGCAGCCACCACTCTCACCTGCTGATAATGCTGAGTGATCAGGGCTGGCACCGGCAGCAGGAGTGAGTGCCCAGTGGAACCGTGCCATGGGAGCAAAGAATTTCCAGTAACCACCAGAGGCTCCCCCCAATAACAGTGACCGGTGCTCTGCCTTGGTCTGGCGCCCCTGCTCACCTGCTCCACCATCCCACCGTGGCCAATGCCTGCCACATTCCTCGTGCGCTTCCTGGTGGTCAGCGTACATCATAGCAACTGGCTGTTCAGTTGTTTGGTTGTTCTGCCATTCAGTCTATTTGCACATTAGGGTCATTATATATGTGTGTGTGTGTGTGTGTGTGTGTGTGTATGCTTTATATTTTTTAAAGCACGATTACTTTATTAGAGGTGGTCTTTGTATTAGTAGCTGAGGTTATAGGTGAGAGACGGAGGTTCAGGATTTCACCTGACTTCTCCAAGTTGGGACCCAGGTCGGACCTTCTTGGACAGTTGGACCCTGGTGCTCCTTGTGGAGGCGGTGGCTGATTAGAATACAGGTAAGGGCTCTTTCAGGAGATCTTTTTTACAAGGTCACCTGAGGATATTTTTCCATTGGTTTTTAGAGAGAGTGGGAGAGAGAGGGAGGGACAGAGCGAACATCCATGTGAGAGAAGCTCATCGATTGGTTGCCTCCTGCAGGAGCCTCAGCCAGGGTCCAGGCCGGGGAGGAGCCTGTAACTGAGGTATGTGCCCGTGACCAGAATCGAACCTGGGACCCTTGCCGATGCTCTGTCCACTGAGCCAAACCAGCAAGGGCTGTTTATGGATCTCAGAGAGAGAAACATCGATGTGAGAGAGAAGTATCTATGGGATGATGCTCCAATGAGCCACCCGGCCGGGCTGCCCAGTTCTCACTCTGCTCAGAGGCCCCGGCTCAGGAGGCATCACCGGGGAGAGCAGGAGGCTTTCCTGTGGCTTCTGTGCCGTAGAGCTGAGTGCCATAGAGCTGAGTGAATGCCACAGAGCTGAGTGAATGCCACAGAGCTGAGAGTGCCATAGAGCTGAGAGTGCCGTAGAGCTGAGAGTGCCGTAGAGCTGAGAGTGCCGTAGAGCTGAGAGTGCCGTAGAGCTGAGCTGCCCCAGCCAGGCACAGGCCCCTCTCCACCCCTGGCCTGGGCAGTCTGCATCCCTGTACAGGCAGTTCCAGGCTGAGGGTCCCGTCGCCGCCTGTGCAGGTGAAACTCCAGCTGTCGAATGCCCAGGGCTGATCTCGCCAGGGAATTCTGACACCATGTGCTTTTTTCTCTCTTGAAAAGCAACTTTCATCCCATCTTCCCTTCTAGCTCAACTCCCGCAGCCCCAGCCACCCTCATAGCAGCCCCGCCTGCTGCTCTGGGGTTCGCTCCTTTGCTTCTATTACCTCTGCCCCCGCCCAGCCCCGCCTTCCAGAGCCGCTGCCTCTCCCCGCCAGCACTGCGCCCTGAGCCTGGCGGGCGGCTCGGGTCTCGCTGTTGGTGTGGGACATGAATGAACTTCCCTTGAAACTGCTCTGACGTTTTCCCTTTTCTCTCCAGGCTGAAGATGGAGAGCAGCGTGCTCTGCCCCCTGAGGCCAGTGCTGCTGGGTAAGTGGAGCCAGGGGGGCGCGCGGGGGGGCGCGCGGGGGGTGATTTCTCAGAAGTCTCGTGAGAAGAGCCATTTGGGGTGTTTTCATTTCCCCTCAGTTTGCTGGAACTGGGACCCCTAAGCTGGAACTGCAGTCTGTGGGGACCGTGGTTTCAGAAGCCACTGTCGGCCCCGGAAGGCCCAGGCTCCTGTGAGACAGAGAAACCTCCCTCTGCCTTCCTGCCCTTCAACCATCATCTCTTCATTCATTTTTATTCTTCATCCTCACCCGAGGACGTTTTCCCGTTGGTTTTCAGGGAGAGTGGCAGAGAGAGGGGGAGACGGAGGGAAACATCGATGTGAGAGAGACACATCGATTGGTTGCCCCGTGCACGAGCCCTGACCAGGGTCTGGACAGGGGAGGAGCCTGCAACCAAGGTACATGCCCTTGACTGGAATCGAGCCCAGGACCCTCACCAGCCAGGGCTCATATTATCATCTTTAAATTCACCGCTGGTGTCAGATCAGGAAATGAAATCACCAGAGAAAGCCCCAGGATCCCTGTCATTGCTTCCTGCTTCAGCAGGGCAGCCTTCTTGGTTCCCGTTCCTGATTCGAGTGGTTTCTGTGCCGGGGCCTCTCTTCCCGCCGCCCGAGCGCCTGCCGGTCCTCCAGGCCCCATGCCTGCTCTGCCTCCGCCCGGCGGCCTCCCTGTTGCCGAGAGCTCGGGTGCTCTTGCCCGTCATGTCCAGCCTGCCCATTGCTCCCGTCCTCCCCTCCCCAGCTGCTCTGCTCGCATGGCCTGTCCCTTTTCTCTTTACCACCGTTTTCACCCAGGATGGTGACTAAACACAGACTCAGCAGGCACACGAAAGAGCTGCCTTGGCTCTAGTTCCAGGCACACACGGATACATGTGGACACGTGTGTACACACATGTGTACACGAACATGCCTGAGCACACATACATAAAGCGCACGTGCACACACGGAAGTGCAGGTGTCAGAGCTTTTCTCGCGGTGGAAACACTCGCAGAGGTCTGCGGCATTCCCCAGGGTGTGCCCGCAGCCAGCGGAGGCCGCCCGCCCTGTTACTTGCTGGCGGTTCGTGCCGGGCGGAGAGCTTCCGCTTAGAAAGCCTCCTTTTCCTCGCCGTTTCTCTACAGTCACCGGCGCTCTGAGCCCCTTTGCTTAGGCTGCGCTCTGCCTTCCTACAAACCGTTTTACCTGCACACAGCGTGCTCAGCGCCAATCACAGCCCTCCTTACAGCCTTCCTCACAGCCTCCACACGCAAACTTCTCAGTTCCTCCTGACAGCAAATTCCAAACTCTTTTTGGAGCTCATTTTGATTTCTTCCCAAATAATTCTCTACAGAGGGTCTGGAGTCCCCTTTTCATTTTCCCTCTCCCCGCTGTGTGCCCGTTGTCTCCAGTATCTAAGCTTCTCTTTCTTTTTCTTTTCTCTTTAATTTAAATTTCATCTTTGTGTTATAATTTACAGCATTGTGCTCAGACAATCATATATTTTAGGAAGTGTGCCCCCAGATCTTTCCAATGCCCACCTGGCACCATACACAGTTATTACAATACCAGGGGCCAGTGCACAAATTCATGCACCTTGAAAGGGCGGGTCTCAGCCTATCCTCTGTGCCCTGTCCAGCCCCTCCTTCTGTGGCCCCACTCCCCTGTCTTCCAGCAGCCCCACTCCTGCTACTGCTGCTCCCATGTGCTGACGATGCCAGCCCCGCTCGCACCCGATGACAGCGTGGGGCAATTGGGGCCGGTGCCAGCAGTAGATGTGAGTGTCGGGCGGGACTGGCACGTGGGAGCAAAGAATTTTCAATACCACCAGAGGCTCACCCCGATGACAGCAACCAGTGTCCCACCTTGGTCTGGCATCCCCACTCACCTGCTATACTGTCCTGCCATGGCCGATGGCCACCATGTTCCATGCTCTGCCACCTGCTGCTGATACCCACCATGTTCCACATGCACCCCCTAGTGGTCAGCTCATGTCACAGCAACTGATTGCTTGGTTGTTCTATTCAGTCTATTTGCATATTAGGGTTTTATATAGACACACTAGAGGCCCGGTGCACAAAATTCATGCACAGCGGGTGTCCCTCAGCCCAACCTACACCCTCTCCAATCTGGGATTCCTGGGGGATGTCTGACTGCCGGTTTAGGCCAGATCCCACCAGGAGTTGGATATCCCTCTCACAATCCAGGACTACTGGCTCCTAATCACTTGCCTGCTTGCCTGACTGCCTGCTCACCCCTAACCACCTCTGCCTGCCTGTCTGATTGTCCCTAACTGCCTTTGGCTGCCTGCCTGACCACTCCCTAACCACTCCCCTGCTGGCCTGAATGTTCCTTACTGTCTCTCTCCCTGTACCCCCCTCTCCCCACCATGGCCTGATTACCCCCAACTGCTTGCTCCCCGTGCCAGCCTGATCTTGCCCCTTACTGCTTGCTCCCCTGCTGGCCTCCTCACTCCTAACAGCCTTTGCCTTGGCCCCTGCCACTGTGGCTTTGTCCAGAAGGAAGTTGGATGTCTGGAAGATGTCTGGTTGACCTGGTCTAATTAGCATATTACCCTTTTATTAGTACAGATCACTGTGTTTCCTGTGCTGTACCTCCCATCCCCAGGGCTGTTCTGAAACTGTTGATCGCTGGTCCTCAGTCCCTTTCCCTCTCCCCAGCCTCCCCTTCTGTGAGCATCGTCTCTAAAGGTGTCTTTCTTTCTTGGCGATATTTTCTCTTTCTTGTGAAAACACAGCATGTCTTCTGAAAACAGGAGTATCCATCTAACGGTTCTCCCTGGTAGTGAAAGGAGGAGTGACTGGAGCAGTGCAGAGATAGTGGGCTGGCACCGTGCGTGTCCCCATCTGCTGGGAGCCAGGGCTGGGGTGGGGGGCGTGGCAGGAGACAGACACAAAGGCCCAGCAGGCCTGATCCCGAGGACCCGCACGTGTGGCGGCCAGAAGCAGCGGCGAGTGCAGAGATGAGCGTTTGTGAAGGAACCAAAGAACCGAGCGAACAGCGAGGGAGGGAAGAGGCCGGGAGCTGCTTTGTCCATGGGGACGGTTGGTTAACCAGGAACTAGGGACATCGCTTCTGTGTGTGGGTGTTTCAGTACCCGCCCGAAAGCAGGGACCTCAGGCTTCTCTTCTTCCTTTGGAAAGGAGTGGGGTGGGGGATTCTGGAGAAGGGAGGGCCGATGGGAGAGGGCCAGTAGTGAAAGGAGTGGATGGGGTGGGGGATTCTGGGGAAGGGAGGGCCGATAGGAGAGGGCCAGTAGTGAAAGGAGTGGGTGGGGTGGGGGATTCTGGGGAAGGGAGGGCCGAGAGGAGAGGGCCAGTAGTGAAAGGAGTGGGGTGGGGTGGGGGATTCTGGGGAAGGGAGGGCCGAGAGGAGAGGGCCAGTAGTGTGTGTCGCAGAGCCCTTACCCGGTCCCTGTGGCGGCCAGAGGGTGTCCCCTCCTCCGAAAGGCCGTGCTGCCTCGAGTGAGGGCCTCTGCGCACAGGTCCTCGCTGGGCCAGCGGGGAGGGCAGGTGTGAGGCCCGTGGTGACCGGTACTGGTCTGTGCCGCCCGGCACGTCCCTAAGGGTGCCTCCTCTTGCCCTTGGCTTCTGCAGGCTATTTCTTGGGCCTGAACGCCCTGATGGTGTCCTCCCGGGAGCTGACGGTGCACGCGGGGGAGCCCGCCCTGCTGGGCTGCATGTTCCAGAGCGTGGAAGGGAAACGCGTGACCAAGGTCGACTGGACATTCTCACCCAGGGAGCACGACGACCAGGTAACAAGGACACGGGGCCGAGCAGCGGGGAGCTGCCCGGGGTTGGGCCACAGGGAGGCGGTCAGGTCTCCAGGGGCCGGGAGTTGAGTGTCTGGAGCTCAGGCCCAGGAGCGCGTCAGGAGCCGGCAATGCTGGACGGTCAGCCTCGCGGCCACTCCGTCTGCAAGGCCGAAGCTGACGACCCCCTGAGGGGCAGGTGGAGGTGTGCGTGCAAGTGTCAGTTCCTCTTCTCAGTGCTGCCCTCTGTGGAGCAGCGCAGGTGCTGGGGAGGGAGGGAGCTGTGACACATTGGTCTGCAGTTGGCTGTGGCCTCGGCATGCATGTGCGGCAGAATATTCTCCGCCTCCTTCCCAGCTGCGGGCCACGTGGGTGGCAGTCAGCACAGTGTGGGCCACGTGGGCGGCAGTCAGCACAGCTGTGGGCCACGTGGGATGGCAGGTCAGCACAGTGTGGGCCACCTGGGGTGGCAGTCAGCACAGCTGTGGGCCACGTGGGTGGCAGTCAGCACAGCTGTGGGCCACGTGGGTGGCAGTCAGCACAGCTGTGGGCCACGTGGGGAGGCAGATCAGCACAGCTGTGGGCCACGTGGGCGGCAGTCAGCACAGCTGTGGGCCACGTGGGTGGCAGTCAGCACAGCTGTGGGCCACGTGGGTGGCAGTCAGCACAGCTGTGGGCCACGTGGGTGGCAGTCAGCACAGCTGTGGGCCACGTGGGATGGCAGGTCAGCACAGCTGTGGGCCACCTGGGGTGGCAGTCAGCACAGCTGTGGGCCACGTGGGTGGCAGTCAGCACAGCTGTGGGCCACCTGGGGTGGCAGTCAGCACAGCTGTGGGCCACGTGGGTGGCAGTCAGCACAGCTGTGGGCCACGTGGGTGGTAGTCAGCACAGCTGTGGGCCACGTGGGTGGCAGTCAGCACAGCTGTGGGCCACGTGGGCGGCAGTCAGCACAGCTGTGGGCCACGTGGGTGGCAGTCAGCACAGCTGTGGGCCATGTGGGCGGCAGTCAGCACAGCTGTGGGCCATGTGGGATGGCAGGTCAGCACAGCTGTGGGCCACCTGGGGTGGCAGTCAGCACAGCTGTGGGCCACGTGGGTGGCAGTCAGCACAGCTGTGGGCCACGTGGGTGGCAGTCAGCACAGCTGTGGGCCACGTGGGGAGGCAGATCAGCACAGCTGTGGGCCACGTGGGTGGCAGTCAGCACAGCTGTGGGCCACGTGGGTGGCAGTCAGCACAGCTGCAGAGGATGTCTCGTGGGCTCCTCAGAGCAGAAAGCGAGCTTCTGTGGAGCTGTTCCATGTCAGGATCATCTGGGGAAAACGTCCTCATAGTATGTTATTAACCACAAGCCCCAGTGTTTGCAAATGAAGGATTATTTCCGAAGCTCGGGACACGCCATTCTCAGAATGCTGCGCTCACTCAGTGCTCATGACCATGTGGTGCTGTAAGCGGGAGCCCATGGTGTAAGCACAGGAAGGGTCCACCAGGCCCGCCCCCGGCACTTCCTGTTGATGCCTCCTCCTGCCTCACTGAAGCTGCCGAGAGGGAGTGGACGGGGGAGTGACAGCCACAGGCTGGGCCGTGCGAGCCAGGGGTGTCCCATCTTCCTCTGCAGCCGCTCCCGGGGCTGTGGCAGAGGACGGGGTGAAATGGGAGGTGGTTTCCACAAGGAGTGAACCCCCAGAGCCAGCTTCAGAGTGGGTGCTGCATTGCACCCCAAGGTCGGGCCCAAAACTGTGGCCCCTCTGTCTCCATCGGGCTCTGTCTGCATGAGCCATGGAGCCGCGAGCAAGAGATGCTTTCTGGCATACGATGATTTTAAAAAATCCTATTCAAGTGTTTCATTTTGCCCTGGCCGGTTCGGCTCAGTGGATAGAGCATCGGCCTGCAGACTGGAGGGTCCTGGGTTCGATTCCAGTCAAGGGCACATGCCTGGGTTTCAGGCTTGATCCCCAGTGGAGGGTGGGCGGGAGGCAGCTGATAAATGATTCTCTCTCATCATCGATGTTTCTATCTCTCCCTCTCCCTTCCTCTCTGAAATCCATAAAAAAAAAAAAAGGAAAAAAATAATAGCAAAATATTTCCCTTTGAATGAGCACCTTCTGATGATCCACATGAGCTTTCTGGTCATGTGACGTGGCCGTGCCGCTGCAGGGCAGGGTTGAGTGCAGCCCGGGGTTGGAGCGCTGACCCAGGCCCCATGCCTGCCCTCCAGGTGGACTACGTGCTGTACCATTACTCCAACCTCAGCGTGCCCGTGGGGCGCTTCCAGCACCGGGTGAGCCTGGTGGGGGACCTCGCACACAACGACGGCTCTCTCCTGCTCCGAGACGTGGAGGAGGCCGACCGGGGCACCTACACCTGCGAGATCCGCCTGGAGCTGGAGAGCCGCGTGTTCAAAACCCACGTGGCGCTGCACGTGCTGCCGGCAGAGCCCCGAGGTGCGTGGCTGCGCTCAGAGGGGGAGGGCTGGAGGCCGGAGGGCTGGGACGGAGGCCGGTGCCAGCCCCGGGCTCCGTGCCCGCCGCAGCACAAGCTGCAGGCAGCAGTGCTCTCCAGGTAAAGGGAGGATCCCCTAGCCAGCGTGGCTCAGTGGGCGGAGCGTGGCCCTGCGGACTGCAGGGTCCCGAGTTCGATTCCAGTCAGGGGCACGTGCCTGGGCTGGGGGCTCGATCGTGAGGAGAGGCGTGCAGGAGGCAGCCAGTTCATGATTTTCTCTCATCATTGATGTTTCTCTCTCTCCCCCTCCCTTCCTCTCTGAAATCAATAAGAATATATTTAACAAACGAATAAAATGCGGATGACGGTATTGTCACTTCAGACAGCTTTCCTGCTCTGGGGAGTGCTGAGAGGAGGTGCAGGCCGAGAGGGCAGTGCTGCGCCAGGCCCGTTTGTTAGGTGTCAGGCCCGTGCCTGATCCCGAGGCCTCTGACCACACGTCCTTGTCACTGTGCCCGGCCCTTCCCGCGGCGCCCACGCTCTGCCACACGTGTGCCGCAGGGCCTGCAGTCAGCGCTCTGGGGCATGAAGGGCACGCGCAGATGTCCCCAGCTTCTTGGCTTCCAGTTTCCCATTTGTAAACGGAGGGCCTGGCTTCGGCAGGAGGCGGTGTGAGAACTGCTCTGTGGGGCCCCGGATCCAGGGAACCTGGGGGCGCTGGAAGGATGGGAGCAGGGAGGGCGGTTTGGAAACCCCAGATCTCTGCGCGTGTTTGAGAGAGGGAGACAGAAGGAACAGTCTGTGGCCTCAGGACCGGTCTAGTTGGGGCACTGGAGTGTGCTCCCCTCCCCCCATCTGGCTGGTTTGGGCCCCTCCTTTAGAGAGATCCTCTGGGCACCCCACCTCCAGCTGACACTCCTCCCTGCTCAGCGTCTGCCCTGGGACACTCCTCCCTGCTCAGTGTCTGCCCGGTGACACTCCTCCCTGCTCAGTGTCTGCCCGGTGACACTCCTCCCTGCTCAGTGTCTGCCCGGTGACACTCCTCCCTGCTCAGTGTCTGCCCGGTGACACTCCTCCCTGCTCAGTGTCTGCCCGGTGACACTCCTCCCTGCTCAGTGTCTGCCCGGGGACACTCCTCCCTGCTCAGTGTCTGCCCGGTGACACTCCTCCCTGCTCAGTGTCTGCCCGGTGACACTCCTCCCTGCTCAGTGTCTGCCCGGTGACACTCCTCCCTGCTCAGTGTCTGCCCGGTGACACTCCTCCCTGCTCAGCTGTCTCTGCCGGTGACACTCCTCCCTGCTCAGCTGTCTCTGCCCGGGGACACTCCTCCCTGCTCAGTGTCTGCCCGGTGACACTCCTCCCTGCTCAGTGTCTGCCCGGGGACACTCCTCCCTGCTCAGCTGTCTCTGCCGGTCACCTGGGTCTGTGTGCTTGGTCGCCTGACCGGCACAGAGGGAGTGATCAACACACTTATGAATGAATGGGACTCTTAAATGTGCCCCTCACGAGTTTGTCATCTGAAAACTGGAGTTGTAGGCGGTAGCTTCTGGCCCCTCTCCTAATTTACTTATTTATTTTCTTTACTTTTCTTCAATTGTCATTTTCCCCTGACGCCCAAGCGGTGCCCTCGGGGAAGAGGGCAGCGATCAGCGCCCATGCTCCGGGCCGCGGGCCGCGCTCTGCTGCCTCCTGATGCCACGCCATCGCGGTCCACACGGCGGGGCCCACCGAGCGCGGAGGGAGCGACCCGAAGGAACCGTCCACGCAGCCGGGACAATTGTCGGCAGTTAGGTGCCCCAGAGCTGTGGCTGCCTTTCCCTCTCGCCCACGTGGGAGGAACCGGCTCCTGGAGAGGCGTGCTCGCCCTGTGACAGTGCCGCTCTGCAGGCTCTGATCTCTGCCCAGGCACCTTCAGCTGACGATTTTCCCGATTCCAGTTCTTTAGTTCTTTCCCCACATTTCTCGCTTAAACACCACAGACCATGTTCTCACAAATAAAGCAACGCCACTTCCTGTTTGGCTGCTTTCGGGTGGCCGTCCGTCCGCTCTGAGGTGTGGAGTGGCGGAGTGGGAAGCGGGGCGTGGGCCCACTCAGGGGCTCTCAGCTGCTGGTGCTCCTGGCTCTGTCTCCACGTTCATCCTCTGGGCACAGGGAGGGTCAGATTCATCCTCTGGGCACAGGGAGGGTCAGAGTTCATCCTCTGCGCACAGGGAGGGTCAGAGTTCATCCTCTGGGCACGGGGAGGGTCAGAGTTCATCCTCTGGGCACAGGGAGGGTCAGATTCATCCTCTGGGCACAGGGAGGGTCAGATTCATCCTCTGGGCACAGGGAGGGTCAGATTCATCCTCTGGGCACAGGGAGGGTCAGATTCATCCTCTGGGCACGGGGAGGGTCAGAGTTCATCCTCTGGGCACAGGGAGGGTCAGATTCATCCTCTGGGCACAGGGAGGGTCAGATTCATCCTCTGGGCACAGGGAGGGTCAGATTCATCCTCTGGGCACTGGGAGGGTCAGATTCATCCTCTGGGCACAGGGAGGGTCAGAGTTCATCCTCTTCAGTGGGGAGGGTCAGAGTTCATCCTCTGGGCACAGGGAGGGTCAGGGTTCATCCTCTGCGCACAGGGAGGGTCAGGGTTCATCCTCTGGGCACGGGGAGGGTCAGAGTTCATCCTCTGGGCACGGGGAGGGTCAGATTCATCCTCTGCACGTGGGGAGGGTCAGAGTTCATCCTCTGCGCACAGGGAGGGTCAGATTCATCCTCTGGGCACAGGGAGGGTCAGAGTTCATCCTCTGGGCACGGGGAGGGTCAGAGTTCATCCTCTGCACATGGGGAGGGTCAGAGTTCATCCTCTGCACATGGGGAGGGTCAGAGTTCATCCTCTGGGCACGGGGAGGGTCAGATTCATCCTCTGCACGTGGGGAGGGTCAGAGTTCATCCTCTGCTCTTGGGGAGGGTCAGAGTTCATCCTCTGCACGTGGGGAGGGTCAGAGTTCATCCTCTGCTCTTGGGGAGGGTCAGAGTGAGCAGCTCCAAGCACTGCAATGCCCGGCCACAGGCTCTGCAGGGCGCCGCCCACATGCCTGCCGCACTGGGAGGGCTCAGAGGGCTCATTATTATGTCACCTTTAAAAAGCAGAGTTCAGTTTTAAATAATATACACATTTTTATTATTGATTTCAGAGAGGAAGGGAGAGGGAGAGAGAGAGAGAAACATTCATGATCAGAGAGGATCATGGATAGGCCGCCTCCTGCACGCCCCACACTGCGGATGGAGCCCACAGCCCTGGCCTGTGCCCTGACCGGGAACCGAGCTGCGACCTCCTGGTTCCGAGGTGGGCTGAGCCGTGGAGTCATGCCGGCCGGGATGGAGTTCGGTCTGTGAAGTGTTGCTGGAATTCGAGGGTGTTCCCGCCTCCCCCGGCGTGAATTCTTATGACTTCAAGTTCATAGTATTTTCTTTGCTTCCCTCCCGTCCTGCATTCGTCCTGCTGGGCAGAAGCTTGCTCCGGGAAACGGGGGGAAAGGTCGGCCTGTGTGCTGTCTGCTCCCTCTGAACGTCACCTGGTGAGCTTCGGAAGGCGCTGTGTCCAGCGAAGGCCTGCTTCTGCCTCCCTCAACAGCCCTCCCCGCCCTCTCTGCGCTGGCTCTGTTCAGGGAGGCAGGAGCGGGTCTTCGCTGGACACAGCTCCTCCCCAAGCTCACTGGGCGAAGCTCACCAGGCGACGTGGAGGAAGGAGCAATGAGGAGAGTGCTGTACCTTCCCACTTCCTGTTTACGCGAAGCAGAGGTGGGGCCCTTGGGGGACAGCGGGGTGGGCTTCAGGTTCTGCGCTGCCTTCTCTGTGAACTGGGGTGGAGCGGGGCCGTGGAGGGAGAGGGACTGAGGACCAGGAGGTGTTTGTTGTACGAAGACAGCAGGACTCCCGGCTGGGTGTGCGTGGCGGCTGGAGGGCTCGTCCTTGGAGCACGTGAGGTGTGAGGGAGCTTCTGAACCGGGACCCCACGGGCCTTTCGGGGCTGCCATGGAGAGGATGTGTGTCGTGGGGGTTGTAATGCTGATCGTACTGTGGAGGGTCTGCAGCTGATATCATCTCTCTGGAAGCTCTTTGGCCTCTACTGAATATGTCTTGGGTTTGACCTGATTTATCCTCTTCTCCCAGAGCTCGAGGTCCATGTGGGTGATACGGTTCCAATGGGCTGTGCTTTCCAGAGCACGGAAGAGAAGCTCATGACCAAGGTCGACTGGACGTTCTCCCCAGGGCAGCACGCCAAGGTACCGGGGAGGGACCGCGGCTGTGGCGGCCGCCAGTGACAGGAGCCGGAGAGGGGCATCCCGGCGTCCGGTGCCGTGTGGTGGCACGCTGGGCCACGTGGCTGGGACGCTTCCGCTTTTGGGTGGGAAGAAAACTCTAATGAATACGATAAGATAAGGAAGGGGAGCCCTGGCCGGTGTGGCTCAGTGGATGGAGCACCAGCCTGTGGACCAAAGGGTTCCAGGTCTGATTCCGGTCAAGGGCAGTACCTCAGCTGCATGCTCCTCCCCAGCCTGGGCCCTGGTCAGGGTGCGTGCAAGAGGTCCGAGTGCAGTGGCGTCTTACAACAAGAGGCAACCGTTCAATGTGTCTCTCTCATCGATGTTTCTCTCTGTCTCTCCCTCTCCCTTCCACTCTCTAAAAATCACTGGAAAATTTTCCTTGGGTGAGGATTAAAAAAAAAAGATGATGAGGAAGAAGAAGGAGGGTGAGGAGGAGGGGGAGGAGGAGGAAAAGGAGGAGGAGCGGGAGGAGAAGGAAGAGAAGGAGGAGGAGAAGGGAGGGGAGGGGGATGTGGAGGAGGAGGGGGAGGAGGGGGATGTGGAGGAGGAGGGGGAGGAGGGGGAGGAGGGGGAAGAGGAGGAGGAGGAAGAGGAAGAGGAGGAGGAGAGGGAGAAGGAAGAGGAGGGGGAGGAGGAGGAAGAGGAAGAGGAGGAGGGGGAGGAGGAGGAAGAAGAGGACGGGGGCGGGAGGAGGGGGAGGAGATGCCTGATTGTGTGGCAGTGGAGCCTTGTATGGGCACCTGTATGGCTCGGCCTCTGCATACAGCCCTCCTCCCTTTCTCTCCGGAGCTCCTGGGAGAGCAGGCAGGTTCTGGGCCGGGCCAGAGCGCTCTGGGCCGGAGAGAAGCACAGTGGCAGCTGTGCTCTTACGTGGGTTACGTTTGTGAGTTTCTCTTCGCCCCTCACCCCTCTCACGGGTGGAGACAGCCCTGTCGCAGGGGCTTCAGAGGCTGGACTGCAGCTGGGAAGGTGTGAGACAGCATGTTCGTTCATGAGACTGGGATGTCACTGGGGGAGGCGCTCAGGCCACGCCGTGTGGCTGGGCCCCCAGAGGGCTTACTGCTAATGTAGGAGAAGCTGGGAGCTTGTGCGAGGTTCAGGTTTTATAACCAAGACAGAGGCCATCCTGTAAACAGCCATGCCATCACTGCTCCTCTCCGCTCCGGGCCGGGGGCTGCACCCCGGACACGGGGAAGCCCTGCGGAGGGTCCATCCGCGCGTCAGCGCCCGGGAGGCCCCCTTTCACTTGTCTTTGTGCCCGAACGGCCATCCCCGCTTCTTTCCTTGAAAGCTTTTAAAAATGCGACTGTTTATGCTCCTTACTTTAAAAATGCCAACCTGTGCTCCTTTATGCGTATTTTTGGGGCGTCTGCTGCGCAGTGAAAGCCCGCCCTGACGGGGACCCACGTCGGGGGAGGAGCCACGGGCGCTAATGCAGGAGCAGCACATGCCTGCACACGCGTGTGTGTCCTTGCTGACGGCACCTGTGCTGGTTCACATTGAGCCCCCCCCCCTCGCTCACGCCTTTGCCTCCCTCCAGGAGGAGGCGGTGCTGCACTATTCCGCCGGAGGCAGAGGACCCCCGGGGCCCCCCCAGAGTGGGGGCCGCTTCCGGAACCGCGTGGTGCTGGTGGGGGTCACGGCGCACGACGGCTCCGTCCTGCTCCAGGGAGCGCGGGAGTCCGACGCGGGCAGCTACACCTGCAGCGTCCAGCTGGGGGAGCTGGCCTTCAGGAAGACCTTCGCGCTGCTCGTGAGGCGGAGAGAGCCCGCAGGTGTGTGACCCGGGGCTGGGCGGCGGGACCGGCTGGTTAGCGTGGCCAGCACGAGCGAGGCCCGGTGGCCTGGGGTGGGAACGGCCAGGAGGCGCCCCCGGGGCTGACCCCGTGCTGGCCCGGCCCCGAGGCTGGTGCCTCTTTCAGTGTGTGGCCCTGGGCAGCGCGGTGGCCTCACCTGGTCCCTGCCTTGCCGGTGGGTCAGGGTCGAGGAGCTGGTACGTTCGGGGACCGGCCTTGGCCAGCCCTCCCGGGCAGCGCGGCCGCCGGCTCCACAGCCTGGGACGCGGAGCCGGGAGCCGCAGCTCAGACGCCTGGCTGTGCTCTGGGGGGAGGGGACGGCCCCTGCGCTGGGGGGCAGAGAACAGGCAGGAAGGCAGGGACAGAAGTGGGTGAGGGTTCTGAGCAAAGGCGCTGTGTTCTGGGAAACAGGGAGGCGCGTGCAGGGGCAGAGGCTGGCTGTGTTGACTGGAGGTTGCTAAGTGAGGGTTAGAGGTAAACCTTAACCCAGTTAGCAGCCAGGATGTGGCTGTGGAGTCTGCCTTGCACCAGGGCCTCGGGGCTTGGCTGTGGTTGGCTGGAGGGGGCCGGGGTAGGATGGAGCTTACCTCCATGCCCTGGCCTGGGACTTAGTCTGTGGAGGCCCCTTCTTGTCTGTAGCAGAGTCCCGGCTGCAGAGGGGCAGGACAGAGGCTCTCCTCACCCTCCGAAGTCTTATCCCAGCCGCACAGACCAAAGCCTGGCCACGGCGCCCGGTCGCTCACGGCGCCCGGTCTCCCCAGCGCCCGGTCCCCCCAGCGCCCGGTCCCCCCCAGCGCCTTGGTAGTGCCCCCTCCTCCCCCCCGCCCTGCCCTCCATCCAGCCCTGCAGGTGCCTGCCCTGCTCCCTCCCAGGCACTGGCAGTGGCTCCTCAAGCTCAGGACATAAACATGCTCCTCTCCTCTTACCTCACGTTCTTCTCTGCTTAGCTCTCATCCTATGGCTTTTTTTTTCTTTAGTTAATCTCACCCGAGGATATTTTCCCATTGATTTTTAGAGAGAGAGGAAGAGAGAAATATTGAGGTGAGAGAAACACGTCGATTGGTTGCCTCCTGCAAACCCCCAACCAGGGCCTGGGCCGGGGAGGAACTGCAGCTGAGTTATGTGCCCTTCACCGGAATCGAACCTGGGACCCTTTGGTGCGCAGGATGCCGCTCTATCCACTGAGCCACACCGGCCAGGGCCCTTTCTTTTTCCTAAAGCAGCTTTATTGAGCTAGGAAAACAGCGCACCTGCTTAGGCGCACAGCTCAGGGAGCTGGTGTGAGCGGAGCTGTGCAGCCTGACCACACCAGGTTTGATGGCCAGATGCTGGCTGCAGGGTGCAGATGGCGTCTCTCCTCTCACTTCCTGCTGTCTCATTCCTCCATGCACCGCCTTCTGGCGGCCGCTGCTGCCTCGCTTGCTTCCCATCCCGAAGGCACTCGCACACCCCGCCTCCTTTCCGAGCGGATGGGAGGCCACATGCTCTGTGTGGGACAGTCTGTCCATCTCGGTAGAGCTGTATGCGGCCCACCCCATGCCCCCCAATGCAAGACACCCAGCCGCGGACTCCTTCCCAGCCCACCTCCTCCACTCCCATCACCCACTCCCGCCATCGCCTCCACTCGCACCCCCGCCCCCAGCGAACGGCGCCCCCTGCCCGCTGTGCTCTCCGCTGCCAGCTCCCAGGGCCCCGTCTAACCGATGATGGTCCTGTGGTTTCTGCGCCTGACTCCGGATCTGCCTTCTTTCCCGCCCACCCACCGCCTTCGTGCGGCGTCCTCATCTCTGTCTTGAGCTCAGGCCTCTGCCTGTCTCTGCTCTCAAGCTTGGCTTCAGTCAAGGGCTCCCTCTTCCTGCAGCAGCTGGCCCGCCTTCCTCAGCCACAGTCCCTGCACTCAGGCCCATGGCGATGGCCTCTCAGCGCGCCCCCTGCCTCCGTGACAAAAGCCAGATCGTGTTTGTGTGTTTGGAACGAACCCAGGAAATGTGCGAAGGGCACCCTGTGTGGGAATGTGCCCCCGAGGCCTCCCGGGCGCCCTGACCGCAGGCCGGGCTCCGTGGCAGAGAGCCTTTGGAAGAGTCACTGCCCTCGGCAGCCGCGGCTCAGCGGGTGAGCACCGACCTGTGAACCAGGAGGTCAGTGTGATTCCCGGGCAAGGGCACATGCTCAGGCCAGGGGCTTGATCCCCAGGGAGAGGCGTGCAGGAGGCAACCGATCCATGGCTCTCTCATCATTGATGTTCCTCTCTCTCTCCCGCTCTGAAATCAATAAAATATATTTTAAAAAACCATCACTTTCCCGTAGAAACATCAGTAGCCTCTAGGAGTGTGTTGTGTCAGCGTCATCTGTGACCCAAGTGTTAAGAGAATTGTTGGCGCCAGAGGGGCCTCCGAGCGAGGCTGCCTCTCCTGCCCGTACGCAGGGCACGGCTTCGGCTCTCAAGCCACAGGGCCCGCTGGGGTCCTAGTGCTTCCACCGGGTGGAGCGGGCCTGCGCCCCACTCCCTGCCTGGCTGTGCTGCTGTGCCGTCACCGGTGACACTGAACCCCACTGCTCCGTCCCCCAGCGCTGGTGACCGCCACGGCCCCCAGACCCGAGGTGCTGGGCGGGACCCAGCTGCTGATCGTCGTGGGCATCGTCTGCGTCACTGTCCTGCTGCTTCCGGTGCTCATCCTGACCGCGAGGAGGATCCAGGGGAGTAAGAGGTACGCGCTCCGCGGGAGACGGGGCTGCTGGTGCCCGGCTGCTTCTGCCGAGGGGGAGGGGAGACCGGCTGAGCGGAGCCCTCTCCCCAGAAGGGCTGTTTCCGAGGGGAACGGCCTCTGTGCACCATGTGGCACCAGATGCCCTGGGCATTGTGACCGCCCCTGCTCCCAGGCCGTGTGCACCCCACCCCCTCCGCTGTGGACGAGCAGCTCCTGGACAAACGGTGGTCCAGGCGCAGCTCATTAAGAGTCTATCCTAGCCCGGCCAGCGAGGCTCAGGGGCTGAGCACAGACCCAGGCACCAGGAGGTCATAGTTCGATTCCCAGCCAGGCACAGGCCAGGGTTGTGGGCTCAGTGCCTAGTAGGGGGCGTGCAGGAGGCAGCCAATCGATTCCCTCTCATTGATGTTTCTATTTCTCTTTCCCTTTCCCTTCCTCTCTGAAATTAATAAAAACATATTTTAAAAAAACTTTGTAAATCTTAAGCACAAACTATAATGGTGCCATTCAATGCCTGAGATAAACTATTTTAAAAAAAAATTAAATCAATTTTTAGAGAGAAAGAGGGAGAGAGAGAGAGAGTGAAAATAAAAAATAGGCCAAAATACAAAAAAAGTGTCTTCAATGGCAAATGCAGAAGGCAAATGGCCAAGACATCACAGGCCAAGGAGTGGGAAGCGGCCAGAGCACACAGTGGGGTGCTTGTGGGGTGCAGAGCACACAGTGGGGTGCTGCTGGGTGATTCCACTGGGCCTTTGACCTGCCGGCCCAGCAGCACTGCCTGGTCCGGGAGGTGAGCAGGTAGCCTGGGGCCCAGCTCCGTGCACCCACTGCCCCGTCACAGATAGAAAGCCGGGGGCCGGGGTGGGGGGCTGGGAGCTGCTGCCCAGCCCTCAGGTCTCCGGTGCTCTCTGCTCGCCGGGAGGCGCCGCGGGCTTCGGGTGAGCTGGGAGAGTCCAGGGAGAACAGCCCGGCTCGGTGCCTCTTCCTGAGCGCCGAGGGCACCTGGACTGGCCAGCCTGGCCGCTAACCGCCTGCATCTCCTGCCTTGCAGCTCCGGGACGTCCAGGGCCCTGGAGAAGAGCCTGGAGGACAGGGACAGGGCTCGGCCCGAGGTAAGAGGGGGCTCTGTGCGTGGCTGTGCCTCTCAGGGCGGCGGGCCCTCACTCAGCCTGGGTCTCAGCACGTGGGCACGGCTGGCGCAGAGCCCGGCTCGGCCTCTCCCCGCTGGACTGACGCCCCCGGGAGGGGGTGCGTGTGGGCAGCTGGGCCGCCAGTGTGTGAGCGTGTCTGGGGGCCGAGCAGGGAGCACTGGACTCGGGCCAGACAGCCCGGTGTGGGCCCAGCCTTGCGCCCTCCCTGAGCCTGTTTGCTCGTCAGTAAAAGCAGGACCAGGGCCCGGACCCACCCTGCATGGGCTCAGGTCTCGGGGTGACAGGAGGCGGAGCGGGGCGCCTGGGGAGTGTCCGGGGAGCCAGGCTAGGGGGAGATGCAGGCCCGTGAGCCGAGAGGACCCTCGGCCCTCTCCTCTGTGTTCGCTGGAACGGCTGTGATGGCTCGGCCAGGGGCTGAGAAATGGGCTCGTTCCTTTTAGCTCCTTTTCCTTTCTTTCTCTTTTAAACTTTTAACCCCCCTTTGGGATGTGAGCCTCCCGTCTCTGGTCTGTCTGGGCTCCAGTGTCCCGGAGTCTCCCCCGGGTGACGCTGCTTCCCCAGTAAAGGTGGAGATGGCCTTCGCCGTGCGCCCAGCCTCCCGGAGGCTCCGGAGGCGCCCGGCCACGGCCTGGGAGGCTGGGCGCAGGTCGGTGGCTGGCTGGTGCCGCCTCCCCAGGCCGAGGAGGAGGTCACCACGGAGCAGATCGGATTTGGCGAGAGAAGGATTGGGGCTGCTCCCTAATGCCACCAAACAAAGGCTGCTTGGGAAAGATTTGGTTCCTAAGATAGGGCTCTGAGGAGTTAATTCTCTGGAACACTGATGATGGAATTATCGTATTGATGATAATTCCCTAACTTTCAGTGACCTCTGTGCCCGCCCGTGTGGGTGGCTGATGCCATGAGAATCGTAGCAGGAGGCCTTTTCATAGGACCACTGAGCCCCTGGGGGTGGCTCAGCCCGGAACCAGGAGGTCAGGGTCCAATCCCAGCCACGGGCACAGGCCCTGGTTGCAGGCTCGATCCCCAGAGTGGGTGTGCCTGAGGCAGCCGATCCGTGATTCTCTCTCAGCATTGATGTTTCTCTCTCTCTCCCTCTCCCTTCCTCTCTGAAATCAATACAAATATATATTAAAAAGCAGAACTGCTGATTTTCAGGAGTGTTTTACCTTTTCCCTATAGAAGCATGTTTACTCCTCAATCACCACGTGGGAGGTGCCCAAGGAAGAAGAGCCACGTGACAGGTCAGAGGCCACCTACATGACCATGGTGAGGAGGGCAGGTGTCGGAGGGGGCGGGCCTGGGGGAGGGTGTGGGGGAGGAGATGGCCAGGGCTGGAGGGGTGGGATACAGCGGGACTGGGGGAGCTGCTGCTGAGGGCAGGGAAGTCAGATGCTGAGCTCTGCCGGGAAGAAGACTCATTCCAAGGTGCCTCACCCCCGGCCTTGAGTACTAGGGGCAGAGGGCCGGAGTGAAGAGGGGCCTTCACTGTGGATGACATGGTGCCTCTGCCCCAGGTCCTCGCCTAGGCCCTGTGTGAGGTTACACACCTAATAAGGGGGTGCTGTTGCCAGGGCAGATGGCAGATAGCGGGCAGGCACACGGCGCTGTTGGCCCGGGAGGCAGAGGGTCCTGGGGGGGCGGGACTGAGAGAGAAGGAGAGGACTCGTGGCCATGGGGCAGTGTGGCTGGGGAGAGGGTGGTGGAGATGGAGGAGGCAGAGGGGATGAATGGCGATGAAAACAGATGCTTTCCAGAAGGTCCCCCCCAGCCCCTACATTCCTTTATTCCGAGAGCGACTTATCATGGCTGGGCTGGGCTGGCCTGACCTGACCTCACTCTGGCACATCGCTCTGGGCTCAGCCCCCCAGGGAGCACAGCAGCTGGAGGAGGCCCCTGGGTGCCGGGCGGGCAGGACAGGCCTGGCCCTGGAGCGGGTTCCGCTGGGCAGCGGGTGAGGCTCGTGCGCTTCCTGTGACCCGGGGCCGAGGACACATGACTCCCCGAGGACACAGCCCGGAGCCTGGCCGGGTGCCGCCGCTGGCACAGGGCCCCTCTCTGAGCTGGAGTCGGATGTAGTCACCCCCTCGGCCCTCACTGCCGTGTGACCGGCCGTGTGGTCTGCAGGGACCTCCGGCCGGCTGCCCTGAGACCTGCTGACGCAGTGCCCTGCTCCTGCCCCGGGCCGGGTTCGCAGAGGCCGTGAGGTTGGGGGCTGGGGGGCGGGGGGGGTGAGTGTCTTCAAAGCTCCTTGCCCAGGTTCAGTTTAGATGCTTCAAATTTACTCTCTTATTTTTTATTTTTATTTTACTTTTTTATTCTTACTTTTATCACCTGAGGGTTTTTCCCATTGATTTTTAGAAGGAGTGGATGGAAGAGAGGAGGAGAGTCAGAGAGGAACACTGAAGGATTGGTTGCCTCCCGATGACCCTGAGCCAGCCAGGAGCCTGTGACCACCGTGTGTGCCCTTGACAGGAATTGAACCCGGGACCCTTCAGTCCACAGGCTGATGCTCTATCCACTGAGCCACACCAGCTAGAGTGGTGGCTTATAAGTTAAACTCTGCAGGAAATAGCACCTCTGTCCTCTTAAAACGGGCTCCAGCCCCCAGATCTCGGGCTGGCAGGGTGCTGTGCAGACTCTGCACCCAAACAGCAAGCTTGTGCAGGCCTGGGACGGGAGCAGGCGGCACAGGACCTTTGGCTTTGGCGTTGAGCTGATTCAGACGAAGGGCCGCATACTGTGCCCCTTTCTCAGCTTGTACAGCAAAGTGGCTAAGTCACAGCTTTGGAGCTGGCTGACCCATGAGTCTAAGTCCTGACTCTGACTTAGAAGCGAGGTGACCTTGGGCAGGTAACTTAGCACCTCTGAGCCTCAGTTAAAATGGGAATACTTCCCGGGTGGTGAGGTTCAAAAGAGACGGTACACGTGACATTCGGAACGGGGCCAGTGGGCGGGAAGAGCTCAGTGCGTGGTGACTGTTCAGAGGGAAACGCGTCTCACAAACGTGCTTTGTGCCGCTTTCTTCCCTTCCCGGCAGCGCCCAGTGTGGCCTCCCGTGCCGAGAAACCCACCTGGGCAAGCCTTTTAAGAAGACAGTCCCTCACCTGCAGGAGGCAGAGGAGCCCCTGTGTGGCCAGTCCCCGTGCCAGCGTGCAGACCCCTCCCAGCTGCCCTGCCTGCCTGGATGGACAGAGGCTGAAGATGGGGGCTCGGAGCCTGGCAGGAGGGTGGGCACCTCTGGACCAGGCCCCGATGGGAAGCATGGACATGGCCCTCTGGAGTGGCCCTGGGACCCCGGCTGAGCTGCCCTCTGCACCCAGCACCCCGTCCGGTCAATCCCTCGAGTTGGCATCTTTGCGGATGTGACCCTGGGAAGAATCGCAGTGAAAACCAACCCGAATGTTTCCTTCAGCACATCGTCCCTAAATAAATGTGATCTGTGGATGTCTCCTCTCGTCTTGCTCTGGCTGGGGGCGAGAGGAGTGGAACTCTGGAATCAGCGAGGGGACTGAGAAAGCTTTGGAGGGTTGAAAGTGGGGTATGAATATACCTCTAGGATTTGGGCCAGCGCTGCTTTAAAAAAAATTATACACATACACACACATACACTGAGTGGCCAGATTATTATGATCTCTGAACTCCTAATAGTCTGGCCACTCAGTGTATATCCTATATAATAAAAGGCTAATATGCAAATTGTCCCCTCCACCAGGAGTTCAATCAGCAGGCAGGCCAGCCAACTGCCCATGTCCCCTCCCCCTGGCCAGGCTGGCCGGACCCACCATGCACAAATTCATGCACCACGCCTCTAGTGTGTGTGTGTGTGTGTGTGTGTGTGTGTGTGTGTGTGTATGTGTGTGTGTGTGTATACTAGAGGCCCAGCGCATGAAATTCGTGCATGGGGGGTAGGGATGGGGTTGGGTGGCATCCCTCAGCCCAGCCTGCACCCTCTCCAATCTGGGACATCCCTCTCACAATCCAGGACTGCTGGCTCCCAACTGCTCACCTGCCTGCCTTCCTGATTGCCCCTACTGCTTCTGCCTATCAGTCTGATCACCCCCTTGCCAGCCTGATTGATGCCTAACTGCTCCCCTGCAAGCCTGATTGCCCCTAACTGCTCTCCCCTGCAGGCCTGGGTAACCCCCAACTGCCCTTCCCTGCAGGCCTAGTTGCCCCCAACTTCCCTCCTTTGCTGGCCTGGTTACCCTAATTGCCCTCCCCTGCTGGCCTGATTGCCCACAATTGCCTTCCCTTGCAGATCTGGTGCCTCCCAACTGCCCTTCCCTGCTGTCCATCTTGTGTTCACATGGGGAAAACCATCTTTGACCACATAGGGGCATCCATCTTGTTTGTTGGAATGATGGTTAATTTCCATATTACTCTTTTATTAGATAGAATAGAGGCCTGGTGCATGGGAGGGGGCCAGCTGGTTTGCCCTGAAGGGTGTCCCGGATCAGGGTGGGGGCTCCCTTGGGGTGTGGGGTGGCCTGAGTGAGGGGCCTGTGATGGTTTGCAGGCCGGCCACACCCCCTGGTGACCCAAGTGGAGGCCCTGGTATCTGGGATTTATTTACCTTCTACAATTAAAACTCTGTAGCCTTGAGCAGAGGCCAGGGCTGGCCAGGGTGTGTGGGAAGCTTGGTTTCCTCCATTGCTGGGGAAACCCAAGCCCGCTGCTAACTCTATGGCTGCAGCCATCTTGGTTGGGTTAATTTGCATACTTGTTCCTGATTGGCTAGTGGATGTGGTCAATTTGCATATTACTCTTTTACACACACACACACTCTGAGTGGCTGGTTACTATGGGTTCAGAGATCGTAATAATTTGGCCACGGAGGAAGTGAGATGGAGAGAGAGAATCATTGATGGGCTGTCTCCTGTAGGCCCACACTGGGGATCAAGCCCACAGCAGGGCATGTGCCCGGACTGGAAATTGAACCCTGACCTCCTGGTTCATAAGTCAATGCTCAACCACTGAGCCACTCCAGCTGGGCTCACCAGTGCTTTCTCTCTGGCTGGGCTCAGAGTGGCTGGTGGCTCTGTGAGCCCCACAGAGGCTCCCGAAAGTCCCGGGTGGAGCATGAGCATTTCTTTGTCTTTTTCAGAAGCGACGCGAACAGGTTGCCAAGGTAATTAGCCAACGACTTACCTCGTGGTCTGAAACGTGAGGTTCCTATACCTTGTGGTTACCATTAGGAGGCTCACTACGGTTCATTTTTAAATCCCTGGTTCTGGGCTCTGATTTCTAGCCTGGGCTCAGCTCACAGCCCTCGAGATGCATCCCGTCCTCCTCATCCTCTGTATCGGTCCTCCCCTTGGGCGATCAGGCAGGCGGAGGCATGCGTGCCTCTCCCTGCTGGTACAGTTGGAGTGGAGCTGCATTGTTCAGAGCTTCCTAACTCACCACCAGGACCACCCACTAGTGACGCCTCTCTCTCCCGGCTGCTCTGGGGCCTCCCCTTGGAGGCCCGTGGCCTCCTGTTGTCCTTGCTCAGCCATGGCGAAGGGTCATTAAATATTGTCTTCTTGCCCCGGCCAGTTTGGCTCTGCCTAGAGGGCTGGCCTGCCGACCGCAGGGTCCCAGGTTGGATTCTGACCGGTCAAGGGCGCGTACCTCAGTTGCGGGTTCCTGGTCAGGTCTCGTGTAGGAGGCAACCCATCGATGGATGTGTTACCCTCACATCGATGTTTCTCTCTGTCTTTCCCTCTCTAAAATCAATGGGAAAATATCCTCGGGTGAGGATTACAAAAGATAAAAAATATTGTCTCCTTACCTTTAACTCTAAATGAGGACAGTGTCGATGATTTCACTGTGTGTGCCCCGAGGGGACACTGGGTGCCATGAGGAAGTGACTTGCTTTCTGGCCGTTAAGCAATGTCCTGGCGAGGTGGCCCTTTTCTGCTTCCTCAAACCCTGGTGCTTAGGGTCAGCTGGGGGACAGAGGTTTCACAACTGCTGCTCTGGGTCAAAGAGAATAACTGGGAGGGAGCTGGCGGGGGCGGGGGAAGGGGTGAGCACGCCCTCCGGGGTCTGATTGCCCAGATTTGAATTTGATTAACTCAAAGTCTGGCTTTTATTCCGGGCTCAGCAGCTGTCCGGGAGGAGGAGGAGGGAGAGGAGGAGGAGCAAGCCCACTCCCCCATCCTGCCTCCCTCTTGTCCCAGGACGGAGTCAAGGTTGAGAGGAAGCCCACAACTCTCAGCAATGAGCCTGCCTAAACCCGAACTGCCCCAGGGGCCACGGAAAGCTCTCCCCGCCCCCCCCCCCCACTCCCCCGCGCCTTCTCCAGGGACCGCCCAGCGCCCGCCCGCAGGAGCGGGAGGCCGAGGCGCAGGGATGGGCTTGTTCCAGCGAGCCTGGTTCCAGCCCTGCTCTCTCTGCAGCTCTGCAGCTGTGCCCCTGCACGGGCGTGGGGGCTCAGCGTCTTGGGGGGCTGCCGAGCTCCTTAGGGACAGTGCGGGTCCGAGCCTCCCCCGCTCCGCTGTGGTTCCCCCGGAGGGTGCTGCTGCTGACTCCGTCCCCAGCTCTCATTCATCTTACTTTTAATTAAAAAATATTTTTAATTGATTTCAAAGAGGAAGGGGAAGGGAGAGAGAGAAGGATCAATGATGAGAGAGAGTCATCAATCAGCCGCCTCCTGCACGTGCCACACTGGGCATGGCGCCACATCGCAGGCCTGTGCCCTGCCCGGAACCCATCTGTGACCTGGTGCACAGGCTGACGCTCAATCACGGCGCCGCTGGCTGGGCTCTCCCTCATGGTTTATTCTTTGTGCAGGAAGCTCTTTAGCCGGAAAAACAAAAAAACAAAAACCAAGTCCCTCTCCCCACCCGGAGAGAGTGAGGAGCTGAGCGCAGGGAGCGCTCTGCACACTCGGCGTTCGAGGCGGGCGGGCGGACGGCGCTGGCCTCCGGTGGCAGGACCTGCCGCAGCCGCTTTCCCAGTGAACCTGCTGCATTTTAAGTCCTGGGAGCACACAGGGCCCCGCCCATAGGAAGCAGCCTACAGCTGCAGGGGGCGGGCGCCCGTAAATAACGAAAATCCAGCCCTCACAGTGTGGCTCAGTGGTTGGAGGGTTGACCTGTGGACTGAGGGGTTGTGTGTGTGTGTGTGTGTGGCACGTGCGTGTGCGTGTGTGCGTGCACGTGTGTGTGGTGTGTGCGTGCACGTGTGTGTGGTGTGTGGCATGTGCGTGTGTGTGGTGTGTGTGGCATGTGTGTGTGCGTGTGTGAGTGTGTGTGTGTGGTGTGTGTGTGGTGTGTGTGGCGTGTGCATGTGTGTGGTGTGTGTGTGTGGTGTGTGTGTGGTGTGTGTGGTGTGTGTGTGTGGTGTGTGTGTCAGTGTGTGTGGTGTGTGGTGTGTGGTGTGTGGTGTGTGTGGTGTGTGTGTGGTGTGTGTGTGTGGTGTGTGTGTGGTGTGTGTGTGGTGTGTGTGTGTGGTGTGTGTGGTGTGTGTGTGGTGTGTGTGTGTGGTGTGTGTGTGGTGTGTGTGTGGTGTGTGTGTGTGGTGTGTGTGGTGTGTGGGGGGGCTGTGTGTGTGTGGTGTGTGTGGTGTGTGTGTGTGGTGTGTGTCAGTGTGTGTTGTTTGTGTGTGTGTGGTGTGTGTGTGGTGTGTGTGTGGTGTGTGTGAATGTGTGGTGTGTGTGGTGTGTGTGTCAGTGTGTGTTGTGTGTGTGGTGTGTGTGTGTGGTGTGTGTGGTGTGTGTGGTGTGTGTGGGGGGCTGTGTGTTGTGTGTGTGTCAGTGTGTGTGGTGTGTGTGTGTGTGGTGTCTGTGGTGTGTGTGTGTCAGTGTGTGTGGTGTGTGGTGTGTGTGGTGTGTGTGGTGTGTGTGTGTGGTGTGTGTGGTGTGTGTGGTGTGTGTGGTGTGTGTGTGGTGTGTGTGTGGTGTGTGTGTGTGGTGTGTGGTGTGTGTGTTGTGTGTCTGTGGTGTGTGTGGTGTGTGTCAGTGTGTGTCAGTGTGTGTGGTGTCTGTGCTGTGTGTCTGTGGTGTGTGTGTGTGGTGTGTGTGGTGTGGGGGGGGCTGTGTGTGTGTCAGGCAGGGCCAGGCAGCTGTTGGAGCAGCTCAGTGACTTGGCTGCAGTTCTCTGCGCAGGGACCAGCGCTCTCCGGAGATGGACCCAGTTTCCCAGAGGACGCGCCCGTCTGGCCAGGGGTTTGCAAATGTGGTCAGTGTTCCGCCGGGGTCAGGCCATCGGCGCCGCTTCTGCAAACCAGCTGTCCAGACGGCGCTTCTCTCTCAGGAAAGGGGGGAACTCTGCATTTTCTCAGAAAGCTGGGGATGCCGTGTGAGAGCCACAGCGCGTGCGTCTCGGTACCTTTGAGGCGCCTGCCTGAGCTGCGCCCCCTGGAGGCAGGTGCCCTGGCCAACCCAGCTGTCCCTCTGCTTTCATGGCAGAATCTTCTTTTTAAAAAATATCTATTTTTATTGATTTCGGAGAGGAAGGGAGA